TTGGTCTTTCTTGGTTAGAAATACATAACCCATCCATAGATTGGAGGTTACGAAGGAAGACATTCCCTATAGAACATTTCGAGAGTAAGCATGTTAGAAGATCTAGAATCAAAAAATCCTTATTTATTGGAGTAAGAGCATTTGTAACATCGTCCAAAGAAGACACACTATTTTTTATTTATGCGACTCCAACTAGCGGAGAGAAGATTTCGACAGTAAATATATCAGAGCAATATAAGGATTTTAAAGATGTATTTAAAAAAAAAAATGCCGACATGCTACAAGAGCATCAACCATACGATTGTGCCATAAACTTGCAAGAAGGAGCACAACCACCTTTTGGCCCAATCTACAATTTGTCACAGACGAAGTTAGCAGAGTTGCAAAAGTACATTGACGAGAATCTAGTGAAGAACTTCATTCATCATTCAAAGTCACCAGCTAGGGCACTAATCTTATTTGTGAAGAAGAAAGATGGCTCGTTGCTGATGTGTGTGGATTATCGAGGTCTCAACAAGGTGATAAAGAAGAATCATTATTCATTATCCTTGATATCAAGTCTTCTATAGCAACTTCAAAGATTGATTTAAGGAGAACACACAACCTCGTGCAAATCAAAGAAGGAGATAAATGAAAGACAACTTTTCATACAAGGTATGGCCATTTTGAATATAATGCCATGCCTTTTGGTCTTACCAATGTTCCAGCGGTCTTTGAATACATGATGAATGATATCTTTCGGGAGCACCTTGATGATTTTGTTGACATCTATCTAGATGATATTTTGATATTTTCCAAGAACGTAGAAGAGCATAAGAAACACGTTTGTCTTGTCCTTGAAAAACTCCACAAGCGAGGACTTTATACCAAGTTGGAGAAGTGCTTGTTTAACCAAACTGAGATAGAATTTTTGGGATTCATTGCAACTACAAAAGGCTTGAAGATGGATCCTAAGAAAGTGGAAGCAATTGTATCATAGAAAGTTCCAAAGACAATTAAAGATGTACAATGCTTTCTTGGCTTTGCTAACTTCTATCACATCTTCATCAAAAATTATTCTCAAGTTACTGCTCCGCTCACTCGGTTGACATGTAAAGACAAGCTCAAATGAAGACCTCTAGTAAAAAAAGCATTTCAAGATCTTAAAACGATATTTATTAGGGCTCTAATCTTGGTACATCCGCACTTTGCAAAGGCCTTGTATTTCGAGACCGATGCTTCAAATTTTGTTATGGAAGCTATACTTTCACAGATAGGTGCAGGTAAAAAGCTTCATCCGATTGCGTTCTACTCTCGGAAGTTTTCTACTGTCGAGATCAACTATGAGATCCATGATAAAGAACTTCTTGCAATAGTAGATTCTTTTTAAGAGTGGCATCACTTTCTCGAAGGAGCTACACATCTAGTGATTGTATACACAAATCACAAGAATTTAGAGAACTTCATGTCGGCTCGGGTTCTGAATTATTGTCAAGTTCAATAGAATATGTTGCTATTCAGGTTTGACTTTGTTATTACTTATCGGCCTAAGAAGTAATAAGGACTATCGAATGGATTATCAAGAAGATGATATCTAGTACCAAAGGTTGGAGAAGCAGTGTTTGATCAATAGTGTATAATATTATTGAAGTCGAAACAATTTAGGCTTTGCTTTGCTATAGTGTCAATTGATATTGACTTCCTCAACCTGGTACGTAGTGTGACAATTGGAGATTTTGTAGCATCCAATATCACGTAATATATCAATAATGACAAGTTCAAGGTAGAAGGAGATCTTTTATACTTTGAAGAGCAGTTGTATATTCCAAAGAAACCAGCACGGCTCTAAGCTCTCCAATCTTGACACGACTTTCCAACTGTAGGATATTTTAGATTTAATAAGATCTTAGAACTTATTTTTTGAGATTTTTGATGGTCCCAAATGTGCAAGGATGTCAAGGATTTTTGTCCTCTCTTAAGACATTTGTTCAAGATCCAAGAACCCTTGGCATCGTCCTTATGGTCTTTTTCAGCCATTACCTACTCCACGTCGACTATGGTCTTCAATTTCTATGGCCTTTATTATGGACCTGCCACCATCGAATTCATTTGACAGCATCTTTGTTGTGGTAGATCAGCTTACAAAGATGGCACATTTTGTTCCTTGCAAAAAAACATCATCAAGCAAAGACACAATAAGGCTCTTCCTTGATAGTGTGTATCGATATCATGGTTTACCAGATGATATCTTGTTGGATCGAGGAACCTAATTCATATCAAAGTTCTGGAGATCTCTCTTTGAAATACTGAAGGTGGATATCAAGCTTTCTTCGACTTTCCATCATCAAACTGACTGCCAAATGGAACGGGTGAATCAAACTTTGGAGTAGTACTTACGATGCAGCATCAATTATCAGCAAGATGATTGGACTGCATATCTATGGTTAATCGAGTTTACATATAATAACCTCCTTCATGCATCGATTCAACAAACACCATTCTTTTTCAACTATGGATATCATCCGAAGCTTGATTTATTAAGTCTGTCAACCAATAACAACCTGACAGCTGAAGGATTTGTGAAGCAATTATTGGAGCTTCAAACTACGTTGAAGCTTCAATTGCAAACCGCCCCAGAAGCTTACAAGGCGTCCGTAGATAAATTTCAGAATCAGGCACCTACTTTCAAAATTGGAGATAAAGTATGGCTGCTTCGACGGAATATCAAAACCAAGCGGCCATGTGATAAGTTAGACTACCAGAGATTGGGACCATTTGTCATCCAGAAGCAAATCAATCTAATGGCATACCATCTGGGATTATTGGCTGCTATGAAGGTACATCTAGTCTTTCATGTTTCTTTGTTGGAGCCTTATCGAGGGTCGTCTTTTCTTGGAAGAGTACAATATCCGCTACCTAGTTTTGAAATTGAGAACCATGAAGAATATGAGGTAGAAAAGGTACTAGATTTGTGGCATAAGTAGAAAAAATTGGGCTACCTTGTGCATTTGAGCAGCTATGATATCAATGAGCGCACATGGGAACCAACGAAAAATCTTATCAATGCATCGCAAAAGGTACAGGAGTTTCATCAACGCTATCTTCAAAAACTTAAGTACTTTCAATGAAAGTTTTTCAATAAAGTTCCTTCTCTTTGAAGTCTCTTAATCCTCGGCCTTACAAAGAAAGGGGAGAAGGAACCTCTAAAAGATATAGTTAGAGATTATAAATCTGTAACTTGAGCCCATTCTTCCATGTTTAGTGCTTATATTTTTCAATATGATATGGATAGCCAAGAGATAGATACCATACCAGTCATGTCTTCTCAATCTAGTATCTCACGAAGACGACCCTGAGATGAAGAACCACCTATACCACGAAGACAATGGAGGATATTTAGTAATAGGTCACTAGTGATTGTATTTGAGGTAGAACCTGCCTATAATGATCTTCTCAAAGGAGTGTTTGTATGGCATTTTCACAATGAAGACATGGAAGTTCATGCTTGGTAAAAAATTGAATGCATAGGAAACTATCGTTGGTTATAAGGACCAATGAACTACTTGCCGTGTGAACAACAATTGGAGTATATTGTAGACACTATGTGACAAATTTTTAACTTCTTACGTTGGTACTGACTCGTAATAGGAGTGCTTCTCGTAGACCTCGAAGCAAAAGGAGGAGGGGGGTGATGTCAAGGACATACACTAGGAAGTTGTAGAAGATTCTAAAAGGTTCTAGAGAAGCTTTGTAGTTTGTAGAAGCTACTTGAGAAGTTTTCAAGCTCGTGGAAGCTACTTGAGAAGCTTCCTAACTTGTAGTGTATATAGGAGCTCAGACTGAGGAGATCTTCAATCTCGACAACACACCTCTTAGAGCTCTAGTTCACCTCTCTAGTGTTGTTCTTGTACTCATCTTATTAATCTAGTTCTTACCGATTCTTCTTCAGCTTCTTGTTTAGATTTTTAGTCAGTATTCTAAATTCGTGACAGTTTGTTCTTAAGTCTACTCTAATATAATCTCATATCTACTTTGTTTGGCTCTAATAATAAGTAGGGCTTTGCCACCATGCTTGCCACTACTCTCCTCTTCTCCTACACAACTTAGAGCTTAGCCAATATAATTTCTTGGTGCCAAAGTAATTTTTGCAATTGGATAGATTGGATTTGAAATTAAAACATAGTACATCTAGAATTGGACATAATAGACCTAAGAGCAAAGTATAGTAGATATGAGAGTTAGGTAAAATAGATTTAGTAGAAATAGAAACTATATTTTATTGTCAATGGGTTGAATTAAGACATATGTGATTCAATTTGACATTCTTCTTGTAGAATTAAATAATTATTGTTAGAAATTTAAGAAATAAAGGAGATTACTAGAATTGAAAGACCTTGCATACAACTCTTCAAAATAAACAATAAAAGTTTTTTATTGATTGCAAATCAATTATATATTTGGATTATAATATGTGTTATTAAAAGGGACATGAAAGTAGATAGTAGTTGGAGGTTTGTAAATAGATTCATGTGAATAAAAGAAATTTATATAAGAAAATAATTTTTTTGTCAACTATTCATATTATTTATTTGTGTTTTTATTTTTGGTTTAAAAAAACATTAGAAAAAGAATCTTTTAATTTATTTTTTTAATAGAACTTAAAAAATAAAATAATTTTTGAATGCCGAATCATTAATTAATGCCCAATTTAATGCATTAATTACATTCAAATAATACAAGATTATTATTTGTACATATTTTTGTGATTTAAGAATATATTTTATATGTACCCTAAACTAAAAAATTATGTATTAACATTTGATGTGTATATTCTTTTTGTTACAGTTGGTTACTTCAGTAGAATGCAGTGACCACAACCCATCAGAATGAATGCGACCCATTGCACACAAATCTCGCAACAATGGCAGCTCAACACCGTCTGACCCTTGACCGCGAACAGAAAACATCCATTCATCCAAACATGGTCTTAAACCACACCCTCGATCATAGGATGCGGCGTTGAGGGAACGGCAGAAGCCTGCTGAAGAGGAAGAGAGAATGGCTTCGGAGTGTGTTGTGAGATCGAGAAGCTGGATCCGTCGTGAGCGCGAATTGTCTCGCTTGGTGCCGAAATGAGCTTGCGGTTGCTAATTTGAAGCTCCAGTGGCGATGCGATTTGCAGCACACCTGTAGTTGATTAGGGTTTTTTGTGGGTGAGTGACAACTCTAGCATTGATGGAGGTACTATGTTGTGAATGGTGGTGGTGGTAGTGGCAGGGTAGGATGGTGCAACTATCATAGGTAGAATTACCGTGAGGAATGCGATTTCGAAGCCTTTTTTTTTAAGAAGCTCGTCTTGTACATGATGCCCCTTTGACTCCCGCGAGTTTTGCTGATGAATTTTACTCAATTGCACATCATAAACCCTAAACCCTGGGTTGAAGTTGTGTTCGTCTTGAATTGCAGGCGATGCAAGATGTTGGGTTAATTTTTACTGGCTCATGGAACCCTAGTCTTAGTTTAACTTGTTGGTTTGTTTGTTTGTTTGTTGGTTCTTTTTTTTTTTTTTTTTTTTTTGGTGTGGACCCCGATGTTGAATTTTAAGAATGCCGCAGATTGATAGTAAGGACTGCGTGCGTGGGATTGGAGTCTTAAACGAACAATGCTTGTGGCATTGCGGCGCCGAGCTACAGGTCGAGTGACTCGGGCGTCTGAGGTATGTGTACGTGGAAAAGCTTGGTTTATTTGTATTCCTTGTGGCATGAATGTCTTGATAGCTACTTTGATACCATTGCGTTACTCTTTGAAAATTTCCATGGCGTATTGACATAGTTACGGTTTTGCTGTAAACAGTTTTGCAATGGAATAGCTAGAAATCTGTCTACGAAAAATTCTGGGCCCGATGAGTGGTGGGCTGTAGATGGAGAACTCTTACGGCTGCGGCCAGAGCGTGGGAAGGGATACAAGCTTGTGAACATGGCGGAGCCGGACCCGAGACCCAAGCCTCTGAACTACCGAAAGCTTTTCGCTGACCGTATGGCTCGTATGCAGGATATTCGTATTCGTGACAATGTGAGTTCCGGTGTCTGAGGACATTTATATCCTGGTTTTGGGTGGGGTTTCTGTTACTAATTCATGACTCTACTGCTTCCATTTTGGAACTGTCTATATTTAACGAATCGTTTCTAAAGAGTGAGATGATACGTTAGGATTCTGGGGGAAAGGTGGAGTATTTGGAGGTTATTGTTGGACACTTACTGGGTTATATATGTGAAGAAAGTTAGGTTGACATTTCTGCTGAGGTTGTGAGTTGCGTTTCTGAAGAGTCAAGAAGGTTATTGGAAGGCCTACATGGAGCGCTTTAATCGCACACGTGAGGAGTGGGAGAAGCTTTACTGGGATGGAGTTCCACGAGCTCCCGATCAGGACCCCGTTGCAAAGAGGCCTATAGACCATTATCTAGTTCTGGGACTTAGAAAGTACGCTTTTCCATAGTTCATTTTCAATTATCTCAACAATGGTTGGGAATGGTAAAATGATTAAGTTGCCTTAATTGTATATCGTTAGAAATTGATCACCAATCTAATTTTAAGCCAGGTCGATATGTCAACTATGTTACCTTGAAAATCCTTATGATTCGAGCTCATCATTATATTCAGCTATTTTTTACTTAATGTATTTGGTGGCTGTGCAGGAGGCATCAACCATATTCTCCTCTTGAGCTTAAGGTAGAGAAGTTGGATCCAACCATAGCCCGTCACTTGTTCTTGTACCACTCATATCTTGGAACAGGGATTTGAAACTGTCTTTGGCAGTTGCTGAAAGTCCTTGTGATGCATAGTCTAACCTCGCTGTTTACGTTCATTTCCACAGTCTGCATTTCGCGATAAAGCTATGTTGTACCATCCTGAAAACAATAGAGAAAAGGATCCAAAGAAAAGAGGTATGGGTGTTCATCTTGTTTTTGGTTTTTCAGTTAACCAAGTCGCTTTTTTCTTTTTTTTACATTTTTTAAGAAATGTTCATGTCCACCTCACTATGAAGAAATATTTTCATGTAGACATGTGAATGCTATATGTACACTTCGTGAATGTAAAAATTTGTTGCTAATTGATTTAGTATTGTTGGTCATGATAGTTTCTGACTTCGTGTGCATCATTGTCTTTGCTTAGCTGCAAACATGGCAAAGTTTAGGCAAGTTTGGGAGTCATACAAGAATCTGCAGAATAGGCGAAGTTGGTGAGAAACGACCTTTATTTGTTGACGATGGCCTTCTCAAGCGGGAAAATTTGATACGTGAGGGGCATTATAGGGAGTAGCGTTGAAGTATCCAATAGAAAGTAGGGAAAATATCATTTATACCCCTCAAATATGTTGAAATATCAAGAATACCCCTACATTCTTGATAATAGCAAGAATATCCTGTAGTGTGATAAGTTATCTCCAATCTCACAAAAGCCTCCTAGATTCCATTACTTAGTTTTGTTTTATATGCAGCACAAATCTTGTGGCTTTATGATGTGCTTTGAAGTTTTTGTTTGTTCTGCACCCTCGGGCGACTGTCGCAGCCCCCTCGCCCTCATCATCCTTCCTCCGTGACATCTTCCATCATCTGTCCCCGCGTCGGGGTGTGTTCGGTGATCGGACTAGTTGCCATGTACAAAATTCCTCCCACAGCACAGAAATGACCATTTCCATGTTGACAGTTTCAACATCCTCGGTAATGTTCCTCGGCGATGCTCCTGCAGCGCTCAGCTCTGTTTGTGATCAGTCATGCGGGTCATTCCCTGTTTTCAATGCTCATATAAGTGTGTACAGTTTACGTGTACCCTGCCGTAACTTGTATGACATTCACCTCGAATCTGGACCGGCAATCAAGTTGAATGCCACGCTAGCCATTTGAGCGAGTAGCAGTAGAGCTCGGTTCTTGGCCCAAAGTGGGAGCTGCACATTCCAGAAATCGTTGAGAAGTTGGAAAAGTTGGATGTTGGTAATCAAGGAAAATTGAAGAATTAAGTATTGCAGAATCAATGAGGGATTACGCATACCTGGCTGAAACACATTGCTAAAGGGCCCAAGCACTGAACCATGTCGGAGGCAAGTCGTGTACAGATCTGAGACAAATCGGGTACATTTGCTATTGTGAAGAATGTAGGGGTATTCTTGATATTTCAACATATTTGAGGGGTATAAATGATATATTCCGCAGAAAGTATATGCGACTTTGTGACGTCTTCTTCGTGACGAAGAATATTGGTGATTCACCAGTGGGGGAAGCAACGATCGAGGGAAAGGATTTTTGGCCTAGAAGTTGTTAGAATTTTGGACAATTAAAGCACTCATCACAAAAGCATTGCATTCGTCTAAATTCCTGATCTGTCCTCCAACCGCTTTTTGCTGCTAATATTCAATGCGTATTTGAATTCACTCACCAGTTTATTCTCACGTAAAGAAGACATGGTTTGTTTAGATAGAATGTATAATATACTACTTGTGCTCACTGGTTACATTGCAGATGTAAATCAATGAGCTAGACTTTGGAAAATCACCCATCTACTTTACTCGGCCCACAGTGATTCATGCAAATACGTTGCTACAACTCGAGCAGGCTTTTCTCAAACTGCTTGCGAAACCCAAGCATAATAGGCTCAGCTACAAAAACTTTCTAGGTAACTTGTATGCTGATGCCCTTCTAAACACATAATTTTTGTTATCTACCACGAAGATTCATATCACAAAGCAAAGGAAACTTGCAGAGGGTCCCGATGTGCTTAGAAAAAAGACTTGGACATTGTGCTTTTGGCCACATAGGGCAGAGTACAATGGGATCAGTCATCATCCAGAGTACTAATCTGTATCACTTGATTAACAAAACTCAAGAACAAGGTGTCAAGAGTTTTGTTAATGGTAGTTAAATAGGCCATGTACTGTTGCACGTTTTTCCACCATCCTTTGGGCAGTATTCATTCAACTCATTTCTCAATTTTTCAGATGGAAAGCTTCCAGCATTTCAGAATATCTTTTCTGGTACTCTGAGTTACAGATTATTCAGAGACAAAAATGTTTAATTTACGTGTCCGTCAAAGCAACCATGGTGAGTATGATGGATAATTTCTAAAATCCGCACAAAACATTGCACTTAATTTAATTTAATTTAATTTTTTCACAAATGTGATGAGGTTGAAGTTTGTAAAATGCCATGAGTTTGGGTCTAGAATGTTTCTAAGGTATAGAGGATGGAAAATTGAACCTAAGTTTACAAAATAGCATTGGGTGAGTTGATAATTCTAATCTCAGGTTTGAAATCACAATCATCTATGTTAGATCCTTGTACAAATTTATCCTTGTTGTGACAAAAATAAAAGAGAAGAAGAAACAATATCTAGGAACTATAATTTTTTTTTAGGAGAGAAAAAAATTATATTATTTAAAGAATCTTAAAATCTTTTTAAGAAGAACTTATTTGCAAAAGTAGTAGATTAGTTTTTTTTGGATTTTTAATTTTGAAGAAACTATTGAGACTCAATCCACTAATTTTTTGGATGATTGAATCAAATTTATTTTAAGAATTTTTCCTACCTCACATAATTTTGTTGATGTTTTCTAATTTTTTGTGAAATCTAACTTAGATAAACTTAACATGTGCTTTTTGATATATTTTTCTTAGTAAAATTGATATCCTATTATTTAAAATAAAAATCTTTTTTTAACAATACAAGAAAAATTAGTAATCAAACAGGAATAGAAATCTAATTGCTGATTAAAATATATGTATATGTATATATATATATATATATATATATATATATATGCAAATATAAGATATAAATTCCTCTTGATCTTTAATTTTTGGTGAATTTTTCAAGTATAAAAAATAAAACAAAAAAATTATGGTTACTCAAAATATTAGTAAACTCTTAGTTTTTATTCATGCTTTTATTTTTTTTATTAATATAAATTTATTATCAATTTTTTTAATACCTAAAAAAACAGATATGAAAATTTTATACTACTTATAATTTAGTCATAAATTGGTTTATGAATGTAATTAAAGTATTATTGTTTTTACAAAAATTTGAAATCAAGATTTTAAACCATCACAAATACCAATCACAATATTAAATTTTTTATTACTATTTTTAAAATTTTATATATCAAAATATAAATATTATATATATTTATTTAGAATTTTAATTTTAATTTCAAATTTTTTATAGATTTTATGTAAGATTTTCTACTATGTTAAAAAATATATTTCAATACTTAATGCTAGGATAAAATCAGGGTTTCGTTTATGAAAATTTATCCAAGAAAAAATTATAATTAATATTAGATAAATTTATTCTTATTGATTTAAATAATAATATTTGAATAAATCATAACTAATATTAGATCCATTTTTTTTTATAATTTATAATTTATATATAATTATATATTTTAATCACTTATACATTAAAATGAATCATTATATAAATAATACTAAAAAATTATTTTATACATAAATATTTAGAAGATTATAGTTTTTTATGTAATATTGGAAAATAATACTAAAATCAAATACTAAATTAGAAATTTATAATGCTTGAATTCATTTGAATTCTTTAAGAGTAAGATAAAATGTTTAATTTTAGAAATTAATTATTATTATTTTTAGAAGTTAATAAATTATTTTATTTTATTTTATTCTTTTATATTTTAAAAATTGTTGACTATCTACCTTTAAATAAAGATTTTTTGTTTTCTAATATTGATTTTTTTAAAAAAAGAATAAATTATCCTTTTTTGTGAAATTTTTTATTTGATATTTGATATTGCAGATTTTCTTCTTCTAATTTAACTTGTGGATTTGTTAAGATTATTAGTTATAGAAATAGAAGGAAAAATTTCAGATGCTACACTTGGCAGAAGTAAGAATAGTTCTTCAATTATTGTAGATTTGTACAAGGTTGTTAATATTCTTAGGGTGGAAATCTCATATATTACCAATGCCAACTATAGAGGTACTATTCGTATGTTTATGGAAGAAGTCAATAATGAGATCTAATTTCTATGCCAAAAAGTTGTGTAATTGAGACAAGCAAATAGATCAACCTCAAAAAATGAATCTAAGAGGTCTTACTACAAGTATGAGAGACACATGGATTAGTATGTTGAAGAAGTTTGATAGAACAAGATCAAAATTTGGAGAATTTCTACAATAGGTGAAGCTCTATTTAAGTTTATATCTTTTTTGATATCATGATGGATTTGTTCAAGTTGGATTTATTGACACACTCCTATATGAAATAACTTTCTTTTGATTTGCACCTTTAATGAAAAAAGATTCACAACTCTTATATGACATAAATTTATCCTTATAAGTATTTATGGCCACATTTGGAGAAATCAATCAAAAAAAAAGGTAGTAGAAACAAAAATCTTATATTTATAATAAAAATCACATTCAATTACCATATATGTTGCTGAATTCCAAAACCTTGCTTGCAACATAGATTGGAATAATAAATCCACTTAAAAATTAATTTTGATATGGATTAAAAGATAAGGCACTCTCGCATTATTGATAAGGTCAAAAGTAAAGTCATAGGAATATTTTATTATCCAAGTTATTACATGCAACAATCAACTTTGTGAAAGACATAAAGACAATGATCTTCTTAGAAAGGAGTAAGTCAAGTCATGACAATTTTTTTGAGTTTTTAAAAACTTATTTATCAAGGCTAAAACCTATGCAAATTAATATAGTAGATTTTTTATTTCTCATTGACTAAGAAAAGACTTGATGTTGTTTGATTATGTGAAGCCTAGTTAGAAAATGCACCAAATACTTGGTTATGGAAGATAAATTAAAAATTGCATAATAACTTCTGATAATAACTTCTAAAATTATGAATAATTATAATAAATTGCAATAACTTAATAATAAATTATAACAACTCTAATAAAATCCTAAATAAATTTCAATTAAATCTTAATAATCATAATTAAATCTTTATTAAATTCTAAAAAAATCTTAAAAAATTATTATAGAAATATTAAAAAATAATATATATTTTTTATAAAATCCTAAAAAAATAATAAAGAAATTTTAAAGAAATATTACAAATAAAAATCCTAATCAAATCCTAAATTTTTTTTGATTAAATCTTAAAATAATTCTAAATAAATCCTAATGAAATCCTAATTTAATTTTAAAAAAATCTTTATAAAATTCTATATAAATCTTTATCATATTTTAATCAAATTTTAATTAATTTTTAATTAAATTCTAATAAAATACTAAATTTTACATAAAATATTAATAAAATTTTAAATCCTAAATAAACTCTAATAAAATCCTAAATTCTAAATCAAATCCTAATAAAATCATAATCAAACCTTAAATCTTAAGAAAAAATCTTTAGTTTCCATAGACATATATATTTTTAAAAATAATTACCTAGATAGAAGTAAATAAAAATAGATTAATTTTATAATAACTTCTAGGGAAGTTTTCTAAAAGCTTGATAGATGATGTGGTGACTTTATACATATTTGTGATTAATTGGTAGATTAAAAACTTATTCAATAAGTTAGCCACATGTCACACCTATTGATAGCTTATAGAACAAGCTAACTATATAGTGCATATATGAAAAACTTGCCTTCTAAGTTAAGACATATATCTAACAAAGTCAACATATTTTAGAGGTCCTACAAAACATTGCAACAT